TGGAGAGAGAGAGAAGGAGAGTGCGTTTTAAGGGATCCCAAACGTCGAAAGAAGAAAGGCGATCGATAAGATGCTGCTCTTGAAGTTACCGAAGAAGGACTTGGAATCAGAGCGATTTCCAATTTGTTGATCGCTCAGAAAAGGATTTGATAGCACGCTGATGAAAGTATTTAATTGAGAGGGCGTGAGAGCGCGTGCGGTGAGTGTCGATGGTGGAAGCAGGGATGATGGGTGATTATTTAAAGGATGAGAAAAACGATTCTGGTTAGTTCTCGGAAATTCTCATTGGCTTTCGCTGAACAAACTGTATCTGGAAAAATCTGAACCTTCAATGGCTCAGAAGGATTTGGGGCTGGTGCGCGCATGTGTCGTGCAGGCCTATGTTCTTTCTAAAGTCAATTATCAAGTTCTGCTAATATTGTTCTTAGATTGATTAAAAAATTTTCAATTAACCCTTTTAAAGGGACAATAACATAAAGAGAGGTTGTGCGTGTTAAAGAGTGAGAATTAATTAAAATTCAAACAATAATATATTGTGTTGCTTTTAGATCAAATTAGTTGCAGAATTTGTTAAAATTTCAATGTATCAACTTTGGCAGGCGACGAGCAGTTCAATGACTAGGTTAAATTTTAAGCAATTTATTAGACCAAAGAGCGGAGAATGAGAGAGAGAGTTAACTGAAAAAAATCGAATTTTAAGAGAGAGAGTGGAGTCCCAAGACAGACAAAAATAGAGAAAAATTCAGGATTAATGATAATTATATTAATATTATATTGATGCTTATATATTGTTTTATAATGAGATAGAAAAAATATATAGGTCAACAAAAAAATGCCTAATTATCCTAATTTCTATAAAATAAATCGAAAAACGTAGAAGGACTACTTTCTCATACACAAACAATAATTATGTTTAACAAAAGAGTGAGGTGAACCAAATTCCAATCAAATAGATTTAACTATTTATTATAAGTTAGCACTGTTATTGCAAATTATTTTAGGATCTTAATTTTAAAAGGACAGCACTTTTCCTTTTGGGTTTATTAGGATTGCTTGAACTAAAATCGATTACACCGAATAGATTTTGATTACTAACCGAACCTCATCAATCACATTGAAAAATTGAATAAAAATAACAAAGTAACCGCAAAAATCGATTGAACCGATAAATTGAATCAAATACTTACTCTTTACCGCTTTCAGTCTCATATTGATATACACTTTTTATTTCACAATAATTAAAAAAAGAAGTTATTTTTGTTAGAAATGACAATTTATATATATATATATATATATATTTCTATTATACCCTACTTTAATATGAGATATACACGTTAATCACTTTAACATGAGATATACAAGTTAATCTGTTATTTTACTTTGTAATCAACCAAGATTAATTACTTTTTTATCTAAGTTACTTATCTAATGGAGTATTACATACCTCAGTTCCATAATAATTGCCACATTTATTAAATTTGCCTAAATTAGAAAAATTATTGAGTAAAATGTTTATATTACCCTTCATTTAATATTAATTCTCTAAGAAAATCATTAAATTGAAGTACTCCCTCCATCCCAAAAAGATAATCCATCTTTCCTTTTTGGTTTGTCCCAAAATATAGTTCACTTTCTTTTTTTTGCATTATAGTAAAAAAAATCATAATAATTTTTTGCTTTTGACGGGATAGCAAAAGGTACCAAAGACTAATTTAGTCTGAGAGATCATATCCGGACTATTTTTACAAATGAAATAAATATTAAAAGAATCAATATTCGCATGCGAAGTTTTTTTTCTACTCTAAAGTATAATTTGTCTATTAGAATTATGATACCATAATTCTGATATCGGATTGCTCAAATTTAGGAATCCATCATCATCTCAAAAAATATTTGTTACTCTTGAAACCACAAATGTGATATGTACTTTAAAAAAAACTATTTTCTCAAATGTAATAAATATTATAGAACGGAGGTAGTAGTTACTATGAATAATTATTGGTCATATTAACTAGCTTATTAAAATTGTAATAATTTTGGACAAATTTGAAAAAAGAAAAAAATGTTCTATCCAATTTTGGGATGGAGGAGTAATTCGTTTTTCCTAAAATTATTCCCCTTCTTATGAATAACCATGACTAACCGTTGTTTTATATTTATGTAAATTTTAATTAAAGGTTGAAGCTTATTTCTAGAGTGTTTTCCCTTCATGAAAACTTCACTTGTTGCTAAAGGGAAGAACCATAAGCATAAACCCAGCTCACAAGGTGTCTCAGTAGCTACCGTAAGGTCCCTGTACTTATATCTTCTCTTTGAGAAAAGATGCAAAACGATCAAATCGACAATTGTTTCAGGTAGCAGCGGGATGAGTCATCCTTTTCACACCTCGAGCATTATTTTGTTCTTTGTTTGGGGCTACTAATCAAATTGAGCATTGTTTCAGGACTTGGATTAAATAGAATGGCTACTGATTAATCCCTCCAATCTTCATATGCAACATCTAGGAAAAATATTCATTCTTTCCTCATTGATTATCAAGACAATCTCATAATGGAAGGAAAGTTTTCTTCTGTTCTTGTTGTTTGAACAAGCTCTCTTATTGGTTTCAAGTCAATTAAGTAAAGAAAGACTATATGGTCACCCTATAAGGACTATTTCACAATCTAATATCTTTTCAAAACTATTTATTAATTTAATATTTGTCCTAACATGGAAAGAGATTGTTGCACTAAAATCACCAATTGAGTTGGTGGTTTCAGTGCAATAGAAAAAATAACTCGCACTGACAAGTAATCAACAAAAAATAATTATATGAATAAAAAATAATTTTTATTTTATATTGAGACCACCAATTTAATTGGTGGTTTCAATAGAAAATGAAAATTTTAAGTTGTCAATTTGCATTTTCACTAAAACACACAATTCATTTGTAGTTTTAATGCAACTATGAAATGTGACCACTAGTCAATAAAAAGTACATGAAAAAGTAGTGTTTTTTTAAAAGTCTACAAATTAATTAGTGGTTTCAATAAAAAAGTTTATTCACTCAAAATAATTTTTCATCAAAACACACATATAATCTGGTGATTTTAGTTAACAATTATTTCAAGTTAACTAATATCAACTTAAGTTTCCTTACACATTTAAAAATTACACATTTAAAAATTACCAAGAGTAATGAGGTGTTTTGTGTTGAACTTGTATGAGGTTAAAAATGTCTTAATAACTAATACATGAAAAATTAATCATATTAATGTCTACCCACATGTCCTCCTGTACCACATCTTGAATGCCTCTTATTACGATGTGGATTTCGGCGTACTGTATCTTCTCTAACACCTTGATATTCTTATCCATGCTCAATATTTATATCAACAATCATGCGAGGTGCTTGAACCACATTTGCTAATGGTTGTTGTGGAGAAAATGTCATATGAGTCTGTTGCTCGGGTACCATCATCATCTCAAGGAAATCATTTAATGAGTGACTAGCATGAGATGTAGATCCATCATGTGTGCCGAAAGACACCATAGAAGTATTGAAAGCATGTATTGTATATTGAAATGGCATTCCCTTGCCTATTTCAGAGAAAGAAGTATGGATTTGCTTGGTTGCTATCATTGGAGTGTAATGAATGTTTAATGCCATTTCTAATATTGTAGATAGTACATTCCACTCAGGTTATGGTGTGGAAGATGGTGTGCTGGGCATAATAGTGCGATACCCTTCATACTAGTTATATGTCATAGAGGAAGGGACTTAAGGTATATCGTCTACTGGCTAGCCTTCAACTAGAATACGTCTACATGTTAAGAATTAATCTCAAATAATTCAATAATAACCTAGATCGTGCAAACCACTAGATTCAACAAAATAGATTGAATAAGAAAAGGTTGCGTACCTCGAGGAAACTCTATAGATAGAAGGGCAGGTTGAAGCATACGATGAGTTTCGTCACGAATTTCTTCATTAATTGTACCAAATAGGTAAATAATCTTGACGGAATGATGGATTTCTACATGTTGGTGATGTTGAACTGTGATATATATTATATATATATATTGGAGGCCCATCGGCCGATATTAAAAAATCATTATGATAATATATATATATATTTGGGAGCCCTATATATATATATATTGGAGCCCATCTGCCGATATTAAAAAAATATTATGGAAATAAGAGTAAAATTTCTTAATCAGTTAGATTAAGAAATTATATGATAAGATAAAAAGATATCGAATAATTACAATAGCTCCAACTTCTACGCCTCGAAATGAAATTCAATGTCTAGTTTATTGCATATATTAAATGTATTACACCAAAACCACCAGATTATATGTGTGTGAAAAAATATTTTGAGTAAATGAATATTTTTCTATTGAAACCAGTAATTAATATGGTGAACTATTAACAAAACACTATTTTTCTCATGTACTTTTTGCTGATTAGTGATCACATCCCATAGTTGCACTAAAACCACCAAATGAATTATATGTTTTAGTAAAAAAGCAAATTGACAACTTAAAATTTTCATTTGTTAAGTTTCATTTTGTATTGAAACCATCAATTAGATTTGTAATTTCAATACAAAATAAAAATTATTATTTATTCATATAACATTTTTGCTGATTGCTTACCTATACGAATTACTTTTTTTATTGCACTAAAATCACTAATTCAATTAATGATTTTAATGTAATACACTCTCTTTATGTCAGAATAAATATTAAATTAATAAATAGTTTTAAAATAACATTAAATTAAGAAATAATTTTACACATTATTTCTGTCGATACCCCACCCTATAATCCTCTTTTTAAACAAATGATTTGCATGGATCTTGGGACCCAACCTAGAACCTATAAATTTCTTGTATTTTCATTTTAATTATTTATCCCCTTAAATCTAAATTTCAGATTTTTAATTTACGTAGTGCAGAGGCCAAAAAAATGAAATAAGAAATTTTCCGGGAAAAGAATTGATTTCAAAAAGAGAATTGTCTCGTCGACAAACCGAATAATCAATTAATTATAAAAGCAATATTATTATCGTTACATAACAGAAAATACCGTACATTAAAGATTCAGACACTACCTCATAACATTAATACAAACAGTCACACCCAGCAAAATAACAGAACAAACATCATTAATTCTTTTTTCATCGTCTCTAGTTTTGCTATATATGTAAGTTTACAGGAAATAATAGCTCAACCAGAAATCTGGATAGCCTTGACATCAGGTTTCTTGATTTCCTCCTTTGGAACTGTCACAGTAAGAACTCCATTTTCCATTGAAGCCTTTACTTGATCCATCTTTCTTTACTTGATCCATCTTTGCATTCTCCGGCAGCCTGAATCTCCTCATGAACTTCCCACTGCTACGCTCCACCCGATGCCAAGTATCATTCTTTTCTTCTTTCTCCACATTCCTCTGTCCGCTGATTTGGAGAACTCTGTCATCTTCAACCTCTACCTTCACTTCCTCTTTCTTGAGCCCAGGAAGATCAGCCTTGAAGACATGAGCTTCTGGTGTCTCTTTCCAGTCTATGCGAGTGTTCACAAAAGCAGAATTTTCACGAGAGACGATTGAAGGAAGGATGAAGGAAAAGGAAAGTCTTTGAAGATTTTTGAATGGATCCCAAACGTCAAAAGCAGAGAAAGGATCGAAAATGCTGCTTCGTGAGTTACCGAAGAAACTTGGAATCAAAGCCATTTCTGTTTTGTTTATTTCTTGGACAAGATCTGATAGACAGCTGAGAAAGTAAATTGAGAACTGAACTTCTTCTTATCGTCCATGATCGGACTAGGGGTAATGGGTTTGATTATTTATAGGCAGTAGAAGAGCGATTCTGGTAGTTTCTCGGGAAATCTAATTGGGCTTTCGTTAACAAACCATATCTGAAAAGTTCTGGAACCTTCAATGCTTGGAAAGTTCGATAAATCTGGATTTGGGCCTTTCTCGCACATTCTCGAACTTTTGTTCTGGATAAATCTGGATTTGGGCCTTTCTCGTACATTCTCGAACTTTTGTTCTCAGTTTCCAAACGGGCTCAGTCGATGTCGTTTTTTAAGATCCAGCCATGTCAGCCAATTGAGGTCGAGCAGGAGTACTATGTATTGGAAGAAATTTGCCGGAGGGAGTTCATAGCCTTATTTATGAAAATCAATGAAAGCTAAAGATTTTTTAAATAATGTGTCGGTTTAATTTTTTTTTTTTTAAATATATAGTTAGAAATATTCTGTTTTAATAAAATCATTAGCTTTATTAATTTGGTGGACTATAAATTCAATCTAAATAATTTTTTTTTCCGTTTATCTATGAAATAGGTTGCCATGGGATATGATACAACTATTTTTAGAAAAAAAAAAAAAATAAGACACAGCACACATAGCCTTAAAAAAATATGTAACTTATTAAAAAAATTTAAATAAATAAATAATTATCTATAATAAGTTATAAATATCTTTAAAAAAAACCAACTATAATATGAGAATATTAAACCTTTTAAATGTTGGTGCAACTAATTCAAAATCAAGAAAATACAACTTTAGCATTTTAAAGCATTTTGTTATTTGAAAGTAAAAAATATAGAGATACTGATCTCTTTTTAGTAAATGAAAGAAATTTGAAAATTATTAAACGAAACTTGTTGAATAACTATAGAGCCGGGCAGTACTGTAAGCAGCCATTAAGTAGAGCGTATTTATAGCTCATAGCATAAATCAATTGCTTTGTCACTTAATCCAATCCCTCGAAACAAGTTAAAGTTTTTTAATGAAATTTACGTGGAAAAACCTATAAAGAGACTAAAAATACTTCCTTCCAAGTATTAAAAATATTCCATATCCAGAATTCAAACTCAAAATTTTTAATTGAAGGAGAATTAATTCATGTCATCTCATCTTATCTTTCAGAATATAATTTACAAATATTCTTATTGTCTTATATATATATTTTTTGAAATACATTTTTGAAGTATAATATAATTTTCAAAATCAAATGGCAGCAGCCAGAAAAATGATAAAAGAATGTATGATTAGTAATATTAGATATTTTGGAGTTGGATTCAAGATTTGTGGACATGAAAATCTGCAAATATCTACACGATAAATGTTTTATTAGCATTTTATATATCAAATGGCGCCTGACCTTCGGAACGCTTAAATTTTTTTTAATAATTTTTTATTATTTATATTTAATTTGTTATACTCGCAATCCCCTTAATTAACTTTTATTATCATTTTTAAATTTTTATCCACTTGTGTATGAATATTATTATTATATAAAAAAAAAGGTTATAATGCTCACTTGAAATGATCTTACACAAAATTCAACCATATATAATAATACAAAGTAAAAAACACGTCGATACATAATTTTAGCCCTCAGGATTAAAATAATATTGTGACATTCTCAAATTTATTTTTATAAATAAATTCACATTTTTCCATATTAATAACCATAATTTTTATTATTTTTGATTTCTATAAAACATTAAATATGTGATTAAATATTGTGATAAGCAATTTAACAATACTAACTTTTTTTTTTTTAGACTATTCAAATAAATATTTAATTAAACCTAATTTTATTAATCAAATTTTGTAAATAAGTTAATATATAATGGTAAAAATTATTTGCTTAGCTACTTAAAATTATATAGCAGTGATAAAATTATTTATTTAAAATGATTTTTTAAATTAGCCAGTGAAATTTTACGTATGACATAAATGACATAAAACCTTAGTCCTTGTAAATTTGTGAAATTCAAGCTGGTTTAGAAAAATTTAGGAAAATTTGAAAATAGATTTTTACAACTCAAGACTCCATTATTTGTTCATTAGTTTATTACATCAAACAACTTCTGATCTTCTAGTACATTCATTTTAATATCAAATTTGTAAACTCAGCCAGAATCTCAATAGCCTTCACATCACGTTTCCTTGATTTTCCTCCTTAGGAACAGCACAGTAAGAACTCCATTTTCCATTGAAGCCTTCACTTCATCCATATTTGCATTCTCCGGGCAGCCTGAACTCCTCAAGAACTTGCCACTAGCTGACGCTCTTCGATGCCAAGTATTCGTTCTTGTCTTCTTTCTCCAATTCCTCTCTCCGCTGATTTGGAGAACTCTGTCATCTTCAACCTCTACCTTCACTTCGTCTTTCTTTGAGCCAGGAAGATTCAGCTTGAAGGACATTTGAGCTTCCGGTGTCTCTTTCCAGGGTCTATTGCGAGTGTTCACAAAAAGCAGAATTTTACGAGAGACGATTGAAGAAAATGAAGGAAAAGGAAAATACTTATGAAATGGATCCCAAACGTCAAAAAGCAGAGAAAGGATCGAAAATGCTTGGCTTCGGCGAGTTAACACGAAGAAACTTGGAATCAGAAGCCATTTTCTAATTTGTATATCACTTTAAGAAGATTTGTTGATTGATGGTTTGCTGTGGGATTGTGGAATGGTGAGAATGAAGGGATATTTATTCGGGAAGCAGAAGAAGGATTTCTAAGTAGTTTCTCTGGAAATTCTAATTTGGGCTTTCGTCAGAAACTGTATCTAGACAAAAGTCTCCGAAACCTTCAATGAAGGGATTTGGGGCTTTTCTCGGCATGTTCTGGTACCTGTTTCTTGGTATTCATATGTCCAGTCTTTACACTATGTTTGGGGAAAGTGAGGAAAGAAAATAAAGGAGGAACGAAAATTAAGAATTGATTTACTAATCATTTTTCTTTTTTATTTTCCACCTTTATGTTAGAAGAAGGGAGGGGAAATAGATGGGAAGAAAGAAAATAAAAATATTTTCCTTTGTTTTGGAAAAAAAAAATTAATATTATTGTAACTTTACATTTTTTATCCTTTATTACATCTAATAATTAGTTATTAATTGGTTAATTTATTTAATTAAATATAATGAATAACCATTAATAAGTGAAACCATTGCACTGTGCCATTGGCAATTCATATTTTTACATCTAAAATGTAATAAAGCAGCAATACCAATTGATTTATAATTAAACTAATCTGTTCATAAAAAAAAAAAAAATCAAGAGCCTCGAGTTAATAAAGACTAAGCAGATTGACGCAAAGACAAGCTTGGCTCCATTGTAAAATTAAGACCTAAGCATTAATGAAGAAGCGATGAGAACGACGGAACCTATAATATTTTATTGATTTATTGAAAAAAAATCATAAAAAAAAAATCATAATAATTTTTTGCTTTTGACGGGATAGCAAAAGGTACCAAAGACTAATTTAGTCTGAGAGATCATATCCGGACTATTTTTACAAATGAAATAAATATTAAAAGAATCAATATTCGCATGCGAAGTTTTTTTTCTACTCTAAAGTATAATTTGTCTATTAGAATTATGATACCATAATTCTGATATCGGATTGCTCAAATTTAGGAATCCAATAATAGAAAAATAGAAAAAAATAAAATTATATAAAATAATGCGAAACAAAATAAAATAGAAAAAATTATCTATAATATAATAATATAAATAATAAAATAATAATAATAAAAAGGAAAACAATAACTATATAATAAATAATAACTATAACTACGTATATTGCCTTTAATTAGTAGTATCGAAGCTTGAATAATGATAATTATATATCAGTGAATCACACCATTTATGAAATACCCAAAAATTGATTTTCATATATTTTACATTTAAAAATTTATCCCTAATTTCAACTTATGGGATTATATAATGAAATTTAAAAGAAAATATCTTATTATTGTTAAATCGGACCTATAAACTATTTTAAAATCTTCAAACCTGATGAAAAATCTATAAATCAAATAAAAATAAAACTAAACCATTGAATTAGACCAAACCGTTTTAAAATCTTCCCTCTTAGCTGCACCGATCCCTCTCTCTACTCGATTTCTCAGCCACTACCTTAGCTGACAGGCTTTGAATCAGTTGTCGTCGTCTCCTTCTCACCATCAGGCCGCTAGTCCCTTTCTCTCTCCCTTTCTTTTCTATTTCAGTAATTGACAAGTCACATTGTTCCTTATTAAATAGGATTTTATAATAATTACTTAATTTCATGTTTTGTTATGTAAAATTACTTATTTTAATAGGTATTAAATATATTAATAATCATCAATTGTTTTACTGATATTTTATCAAATATTAAAAGAAATAATGTTTCATAATCTACTTTTTTAAATTCTAAATACAAGTATAAATAGAGTATAATAATTTTAACTCTAATCAAAACACCTAAATGCTGCATAAATAGCTATCGTCAAATATGGCATAAATTTTCACTCTCACACTCAGCGATTATTTTTTAAAATGATTTAATTAGCCAGTGAAGTTTTACGAGTGACATAATGACATAAAACCTTAGTTTTAAATTTGTGAAATTCAGCTGTTAGAAATTTAAAAAAATTGAAAATAGATTTTACAACTCAAGACTCCATCTTTGTTCATTAATTTATTACATCAAACAACTTCTGAATCTCTCCTGGTACATTCATTTTTAATGCTAAAATTTGTAAAACTCAGCCAGAAATCTCAATAGCCTTCACATCAGGTTTCTTGATTTCCTCCTTAGGAACAGTTACAGTAAGAACTCCATTTTCCATTGAAGCCTTCACTTGATCCATCTTTGCATTCTCCGGCAGCCTGAACCTCCTCAAGAACTTGCCACTGCTACGCTCTTCCGATGCCCAAAGTATCGTTCTTGTCTTTCTTTTCTCCACCATTCCTCTCTCCGCTGATTTGGGGAAACTTGTCATCTTCAACTCTACCCTTCACTTCGTCTTTCTTGAGCCCAGGAAGATTCAGCCTTTG